AGAAATTATAATCCTAAAACCCCGTGTTACTATGGCAACTGCTGAATCTGTCACACCCATCACCTATTACATGACAAACAAGAAGAATATTTGAACTTAGGGCCTAAGCTATCAGAAAATCATAGTAAATAAAAATTACTAATAGGGCTGAGCTAGCTTGAGTTTATTAGATTTTATATTTTGTATTGGAATGTATTATGTATTATATCACTTAAGGTGTAAACAAATTGGCGGCCATTTTGAATTTTGAAAGTAATAATGCAATCTGAATTAACATAAATTATTGAAAAGGGTCTTGGTCCATATTCAGTACACCTAAAAGTAATAAAAAATGTAATTTGGGATGATTAATGTGGCATATTTCCAGTTGGGACAGCCGTATGTAAAAGATACTAGTATGTTTTGTTGCAGACATCTTGGATTTCAGGATTTTACGTCAAAATTAAAAGGTAACATCTTTAACAAGCACATTAGGCAGAAAGCAGAAGCACTGCAATTTCTGAATAATTTAATAAAAACTCAAATATAAAAAAATTCCCAAAATTATTCAAAATGAGCAAAAATTGGCAGCCATCTTGGATTTGCTGTCATCTTGGAACATTTTGATGATTGTGAAGTACAGCACACTTCTTAATTTATACAATTGGTATAATTTTGAATTCCACGATTTTAAATGCATTTGAAATATTTAATTTTTATTTTTCGACTCAAAAATATCAATTTTCAACCCCAGACATTACTATGGCAACAGCTCTGATACTCACACCCACCACCAGTTTAATGGCAAACAAGCAGAAAATAAAAGCTAAGGGTTTAAACTACCAGAAAATCATAGTAAACAAAAGTCACTAATGGGACAAAGTTGGTCGGAGATAATTTAAATTAATATTCTATTGGAGGAATATATAATATGAATTTTACCCAGTGTGTATAATCATATTGGCGGCCATTTCGAGTTTTGAAAGTCCTAATGTAATCAGAATTAATGCAAGTTGTTTTGACAAGTCCTACGTTTGAATTCAGTTCATTACAAGTAATGAAGAATGTAACTTTGATGATAAATCTGGGATCTTTCTAGTTGGGACGGCAGAATTTAACAGAATTGTATTTTGGCTGTCATTTTGGATTTAAGAATTTTACAACAAAATTGAAGGTTGTGTCTAAAACAAATACTGTAGGTCACAAGAAGAGACTGTATGTTATTCCGGTTCATCAAAACATATCCCACATTCTTTTCCCTTAATGATTGAATTAAAACTCAAATATTAAAAATAATTAAAATTACTCAAAAATTAGCAAAAATAGGTCGCCATCTTGAATTTACAGCCATCTTAGAAATTTTGAGGATGGTAATGTTTAGTGCAGCTCTTAACCTATACATCTGAAATAATTTTGAATTCCATTTACTTAATACATTTGAATTATTTAATACTTTTTTGATCTCAGAAATTTCAATATTTAATCTAAGGCGTTACCATGGTAATGGCTGAAGCACACACGCCCACCATCAGTTTAATGGCAAACAAGAAGAAAATAAAAGCTCAAGACCTAAGCTATCAGAATATTCATTGTGAATGAAAATCACTAAAGGGGGGGGGGGCAGGGGGGTCTACATTGGCTCATAGACTAATAAGATAATTGAAAGGATATATAAATCAATTTTAAACGACACTTTTTGTTTTCATTTATGAGGGTTAATTATTTATTTTATTATTATTATTTTCTTTTAAGTATGTTCTTTATTTAGTTATAAGTACATTTCCCATTCTTTCTCTTTTGCCCTCCTTTGCTTTCTCTCGCTCTACTAATTATAACGTTACAGGCCACCGCACATACCTAACCGCACCGTCACATGCCTATGCCACAAACTACACAAAACAGTTCTCATTCCACCGTATATTTATTTACAAGACTTCCCGTCTCTTTTTTTCTTTTTCACTTTACTTTCAAACACAGAACGGGACAGGGAAATGTCTAAAAAATATTAGCTCACTTGGGTTCACTTGGTCGGAGGACAACACTAACGTAAACTTCGGCTTTGGATGTTTGCAACGTTTCTGTCTATCTTTTATAATGATATTAGCTCACTTAGCAAGGGGAAGAGGTAAACTATAGTAAATATCAACGCTAACGTAAACTTCTCCGGTTTGGGGTCTTTGCAACGTTTCTGCCTATCCTTTTTCTTACACTTTCCTACATGTACGTACTTCGTGTAATTTTCAGTATAAGTTTTTAGGTTATTTTCTTGTATTTTTAATTTGTTTTCAGTATTTCTACATTTCACGTTACACTTTTGTTACTGTTACTTATTTTGATTTCTTTTCTTTCAGTTCTACGGTTGATTTGGGGAATAAATTAAATAAACCAAAGCAATCAGCGTGAGAGTTTCTTGACTCAGTGCAGCTACAGCATGGTTACCTAGCTACATTGTAACATGTAAGGGCGAAAACTTAGGCAAGCTGTGCATTTACATATGCACTGTACGTGTACCACATTGTCAAATCATTTAACTTCTTTCCACTTGTAAACTCTACTAGACCATATTTTACTCACAAAACATATTTACCTCAACCGTGGCTCCACCAAACATGTACACAACGAGCTTCAACGCTGAACAAAATGTTCGACACAGTGATTTCACCACTTCTATCCATGCAGGTCATCTTGTTACAGGGTCTAGCTGTCAAGTGACCAGCCAGGAGCATAGCTCTCACTGCGGTGCGTGACTTATTGTTATGCAAATTACAACTGGTACAGTGAATGGCACATTTTGATTTAGGAGTTGCTGTGGAAGGTTGTTACATGTCAATTTGGGTGATTTTGAGTATTTTTGGCAAGGGCCACGTATGGCATTTTTTTCAATTTTGGCCACAAATGAAAGGTTGTTATTTTGGATAATAACAGTGACCGGTAGTTAGGTCCCCTGCGAAAATTAGTCTCTCTTAACGCTCACTTATGGTTCTCAGTGTGTCCTAGAACATAATGTTTTTCTCTCTTAATGAGAAATTTTCTTAATCTGTTCTAGGACATTCTGATGGACTTCTTAAAAACAGTTCTCCAACTGTTACATTCATTACAGAACAACATTAGAACTGTAAAAATACACCAAATGTTCTAGAATAGATTGAGAACCGTAAGTGAACGTTAAATGAGACAAAGGGTGCATTCCCAGAGATTTAGATCGATCCAGAGATTAAGATTTAGATCGACCTAACTCCCTGGGGGTTCACGCTAAATTGCAGTAAGCCGAGTGCGCACCATAGTTAATTACCCCCTTACAGCTTTCAGTAGGCGCGACAGACGCTTAATAAGCCGGCTTAGCTGACAGTAATCTACACAGGGATAGATCGATCTAAAATCTATGGGAATGGGGTCAAAGTTTCGCAGGGGGTGTGTTTGGTCATCTGTAGTAGTTTTAAGTACGGGAAGGTAGTTTTCTCAACATGAAGGATGAAATAAAGAAAGAACTCTGGCCACCCCCACTCTCCAACCCCTAACCTCAGGTGTGCTTTTTGACTAGCTTTAAAGCTGAAATGTTGGGCTAAAAATATCTCAATCATATTTTTTATTTCACATATCAAATGAAGTATGCACAATTCATGCACTATTCTACCAAATTTTGAAGCCTTTTATGCAGCTTTAATACAACAGAAATAAAATTGGGCCTTTCTATAATATCCTGAAAATTCAAGTGATGGTGCATCAAATTCAAGTACTCTATTTTTTGTACTGACAATTTGTAAGGGCAAATTTAAAGTATGATTTTGTGTATTTGATTTTTATTCATACAAGTAAGATGTGCTATCTGTGTACTGAGTGCCTAATTATTATATTTTTCTTGATGTTGTGTCAGTATTTCATTATTTTCTGAAACTTTTATTTAGGCATTTGACTTGATAAGATGATCCGGCTTACAATGAGCATCTAATAAATTACCCATTAAGTAAACTTAATGCTGTTTAAATAAATTACCATGGTGACCTCTGTATTAATGTTATTTAAAGTAGTGTTTTGATGGGATCATAGGCAAGAAATTGTGAACTGCGAAGGATAATTTTTTGGTGAACTTAGGTGGCGATTTTTTAACGGTGCACACTATTCACTACACTGCAATAGCTAAAGCCTAAAGGATTACGATGATCAAGATGGATGGAGAGCATTGGTTGCCAGATCATCTGTTGTGCCCCTACAGTCATCAGACTATGGGACAGATAGATAGATAGATAGATAGATAGATAGAAAGGGTTACAAAATTCTGATCAAATTTCAGAATGAAAAATACTGGTTAAGAAAGGAATAATTTAAATTCTGTGCCTGTGACTTTATAAACTAAAAAAAATTGATAACACTTTTTTTTTACACTGCACTTTTTATTTCTTCACCAAATAGCCATTACACATACTAAGTGCAAGAGTTTTGAAAATTCATCTTGCTGCAGGACTAAACATCAACTGTACTAAGCAATTACTTGTTTGTTTTTCAGCTGATATTACGATGCTTGTGGATCATTTTGGCACTTACAATCCTTCTATTCTTCCCTTTTCTAAATTAAAACCTAGGCACCTGCTGCAAAAAACTACCTGAGTGAAAACCAAGTCTCAGCAGAGACTTGAAATTTCAAATTATTAAGGTCAATTCCTGAAAAAAGTGGGCAACTTATGAGGATTTACAGTCGCTAAACCTGGCCCAACAGTGGCAAACATAAAAGAAAAAAAGTCTAGTTTTACGGACTCAGAGGTAGGATATGAGATGTCATGTTCAAGGGGTGTTTGAAAAGTTTATAACTGATCCCTAAAAGTTAAAGGAGTAGTCTACCATCTTTTGTCTTTGAAAAATACAAAATTTTCTTGCTCGTGTGAAGTTTGGACTCACTGTGTGCATGGTTGCCGATATAGCAAGTCACTGAAATAATTAGTGGGGTGGAGTGGAGAGAAATGTTGCTTTTTTTCAGGAGAAAAAAGATGGAAAACCACTCCAAATTCTTTCTTGGTCGGGCTCAATTTTTTTTCAATCACTCCTCTTAACTTTGTTACTTAAACAAGCATTTTGACAATTTCTTTTATAGTATGAAGCAGCTGACACTGAAAAAAATGTGAGCACTATTTAATTTTCTTATTAGTATGCCATGATATTCTGATATAAATCTTTGGCCTACAGCTTTTGCGTATCACAAATATGTATAAATAATTATTAAAGCAAAGATAAACATCTGATTGCCTTCTTTTTGTGTAGAACTCTGATTGCTGAACAACTGCAAATACTTATTCCACAGTTTGCAGTTTATCACACAGTACTTTCTAAACAAGCCCTTGACAATGAATATATTTAGAAATAGTGTGTGAGTAAACAAACAAACACACAAACAAATACACTTAATCTAAACGCTGGAGGGCACTTTTGTATATTTTGTGCAAAATGACTTCACAAATAAATTACAAGGAATCACATTTCTGACAATTTTGACAGAAAATAATATCACAAAAGTAGATGTATGTATTTTAATTTTTAGGCAACATCTATGTGACTCTGTTGATTGTAATAATAATAATTGTCTACTGCACAAGATATAAAATAATGCAATATTTTTAGCCTCGTTTCTTATCACAATCTAGGATTTGTTGGATCCTAGTCGCATTGAGTAAATGTGTAAAGTAAAAAAAAGAAAAAAAAACAAATTTTTAATACCCTGATCGTCTGATAATATTATTTATTAAAGGTGTAGACTCCATTATTTGGCACCTAGTGACTAGATTTATAAAGCTCATCTAAAACAAAACTTGTGGGAAGCATTTTAAATTTTACCCATAAACTAGTATTAGCTGAGATTAATATGAACATTGCCTAAGACCCGGGTATAAGTTATATATTGCCCTAACTTAGGACTGGACTGTTCACTTATTGAATCTTTGTTACAAAGTAAATACATACTGCGATGCTTTAACAAAAGATATTGCTTAAATATAAACTACATGCTGACAAATAGTCTACAGACTGACCACTATATCTACAGCTGTAGCTTTTACGTGTTCTTTGGCCAAACCCGGGTTTCGTGAAGCCTTGAAAATATGAATATTTCATAAAGACAATTTTACTATAACACGTAATGCACAGGGATGAATTTAAGTCTCATTTTGCTTGCTACACTGTTTTTATTTTTTTCTACTATTTATTTATTTATTTATTTTGGGAGGGCAGGGGAGAGCAGAGGATAAAAGAGGGTTGGAGAGTATGTGCCACACCTTCCCACTCCTCCCTCCCCATTTTCAACTAATGTTATCTACAAGAAGTATGGATGTACTGGCCTAAAATCTCCCCTGTTGTATATTATCCTATTAGAAAAAAGCTGGAAGACAACGATGGAAAACACTGGTAACTTAAGCAAAGAGTAATTCATTGGCACTTTGAGCATTAGAATAAACTGCCTCCAAACTCTGAAACTGCATTAATTATAGATTCATAAAACAAGTGCTAAAAAGAAGGGTTGTTACAGTAACTATTACAACCCCTATAGCTGCATTCTCTGATGGTGCCTTGCTAGACTCTGAAATATTGGACTGTAGTAATACCTCTGAGATTTAGTTCTTGTTTAAAGAAATCATCATTGTCATCTTAAATGCATAACGCAGCTGGTAAAATTCTTTGCTGGACTCCGAACTTCCAGTTTTAACTATGACTAAAAAAAGTACACATACATCCTCTGCTAACAGGAACTTAATAATAACTATATATAATGAATATTTTGTGTAGAAAATAATTAGACATTTAGCACATTTAAATTGAAGACTTACATCTTCCTCTAGCATACAAATGTTATCTCAGTTATTGGGACTGAAATAAGAGCTGCTTAATATGTCAAACCCAAAACCCACTTATTCGTCATTCTGAGGCATCATTTTGTTCCGAAGAACCATTTTGGCAAGTTGCGTCTTGGAGCCATATCCTTCGGCCATGGAATCAATACACATCCTCAGTTGCTCCTTGGTCAGATTTGGGTCACATGACCTGCTGTGATAAACGTGGATTAGGGATGGATCCATAGCACGGAAGACCTGTGAAAACAAATTTTCAAAATTCACAATCAGAATAACTTTTTATTCTAAATTTATTTATAATCATCTGTATGGAGTCAAGTATTATATATATTCATGGAAACCTACAGCCAAAGAAAGGTTACAAGTTCAACATCAAATCAAAACCTAGAGATTGAGACTATTCAAAATGCATGATCACACATCAAATTGAAATTGTTTAGGTGGGTTTCTTACATTATCACAAGTTCATTTTATTAAATCACTCAAGTTTCACATTCTCAGATTCAACATCAACATTTGAAACCTTGATCTGAGCAGAATATCATTTCAGGCCTTGCTCCATTCTGTCATGAATTGCATGAATGTTTTGGAAAGTGAAAAGAGCCTATTGTTTTCTGCAAGAATCATGTTTCAAATCAGATACAGAACTTCAGTATCACAGAGCTTCATTTAAAATAAAGGAGATTATTGTACCAGCTACACCTCAGAAAATACCTCCTGTTTTTCACAAAAAGGTTTGTGGCTTGTACCTATAACTAACACTTAAATGAACTAATTAAAACAGACAAAACACTTTTTTCTTTAACATAATTCACAAGCACCTACCTTCAGATCACTTTTTACATGTTTCAAATACAAATCAACATCTTCCCCGCCCCAACCAGTGATTGACAGGTCAAACCCGCCCACTCTGCGGTAGTCAGCTTGATGGAGACACACCATTCCAAAACCATAAGTTATCCAGTGCCCTGAAATATACAGTGAAGTTTTGACTGACAAGTCCACCCCTCTTACTCTACTTCTGTCAATCACGTGAAATTTTGACTGATAGGGCCACTCCTCCTATTCTATATCTGTCAATCAAATGTGAAGTTTTGACTGACAGGTCCACTCCTCCTACTCTACTTCTGTCAATCAAATGTGAAGTTAGCAACATTCCTAAATAAATAAAATTATGTATGTTAGTCATCCAGAACAGTATGTTTTCTCAGTAGACCAGCCCAAGTCTCTGAGAGGGTGAAGCAATGTTGTCAACTAGACAAATTTCTAAATCCATTCACAAATTTATATGTTAGCTTATTTTAAACACTCCCAAATCATATCACATCCAAGAGAAATTGGTATTTACTATTAGCAATCACCAATTATGCAGGTAATAATTTCATGCATTTAAAAATATTTATTCAAATGATGTCTTAAGCACAACGAACCCTTTTTTAAATAGAACCTGTTTTAGGTTGATAACAATTTTATAACAGCCATTGTCAAATTGGTCCACAATTGCCTATAGTATGAAGTACACTTCAAAGCACACACACACACACACACACACAAATAAATTCACATTCATATCCAGACACAAACATATACACAAACCTGTATATTTATTGATATCCAGCAAATCCTTGACCTTGGTGACGGGAGAATATCCTTTGGCAAGCTCTGGATCATACTGGGAGAACACGATCGGGTAGTAAACTTGGCGGCCATGTACGGCAGTGCTACGGCAACGGTCAAGGAAGTCCCGCTTCAGTGTCACATCAACATCGCAGAAGAACATGAGAGCCTCTTCTGGGAGTTGCTTTGTTCCAAGGTCGATACCTATCCAAGAAAGGAAAATAACTGAAAATGTCTCTATGTGTACATCAGAAAATAATCAAAATTTTAAAACTTGTCTGAAAATCATAAAAAATAATCGAACATAAATACTAGTGTCCCTTCCCTTATGAAAAAGTCCTATTGGATCCTTTAGGATTCTATAAGAAATTGGCCCAATTTCCTATAGGATCCTATAGGGCTTTTTCGTTAGGGTTTTTAATTTCATTTTGATAACTCACTTGGATAATTACCAACTCATTGGCTAGCATCTCAAAGTGAACCAGTTCAGTTATGTATACTACCCGATGTAAAAAGGGCTAAGGCTCTCAAAAATTATTCACTTTTTTAAACCAACTTTTGTACTGTTATTATTATTATGACTTATTACCTAAGGCACGAGAAAATGGCCGCTTGGTCTGCAACATGGTGACTTTGTGTTGAGGATACCGGATTCTCAAATCCTTCACCAGGTTGCGTACAATCACTCCGTCCCCCTCCTTTGCCTGAAAGTTGAACTCCATGACAACAAGAAGCAGATGAACCTCCTCTTTGGGCTTTAAAAAAGTTTCCTCGAAAGATTTCAGAAAAGTTCTCAGACGATTTGTCACTTTTGAAATGGGAAGGATAAAGTGAACTGTCTCAGAGCTCTGGTATGGTTTTATGTTAAGTAAGTGAGCCGTACTGAATGGTTTAACCACCTCAAATCTCTGTACGTCCTTTTTGGACTGATCATGCGTATTCCTCAGTTCAACATTTAAGACATACTCTTCTCCTCGATTTGGATCAAAGCGTCGATAACCATCGATTATCTTTTTCAGGAACCAATCATATCCCTTAGCTCCATGATACAATGATGACAGTTGCTCTAGAATGTGGGTCAAGTCCCCCTTGTGGTGACCTAGAAAACCGATTCTTGGGTCACTGTCAAACTCTCCATATATATGGCGATCAGTGAAGTATTCGTATCGTATTACATCAAAAAGAGTGGAAGGCGTGTAGGCCTCGCGTAATTGCACACTGTTTCGTTCATTTTGACACAGTTTTATCTCAGGTTCTTGCTTGGATTCAAGGTCAGCGAGATCTCCCCCACCAGGGCAAGGGACTGTAGAGTTAATTAAATAACTGGTGAGGAATCCCAGTAGAAATGCCCCCGATAGTTTGAGTATGTCCCTTGGCATTTTTCTTCTACACATAGTGGTCAGTGGAAAAAGTGCATAATTTTGTGGCAAAATATTGAGAACTTAAAAATTTTTGTTCAAAATGAATATCTTTTACCCGTAAAATGTTAACAAAAAATGGTGTATAGAGGTAAATATGTTACCAGTAGTGATATACAGTACATGTATTTCCAAATGTAAAGAATGGAAATTAGACTTTACTTGCACTTTTTGTGTATCACAGGTTTTTTGATCACCCTAAAAATCTTTAAAACAGTGGCAGGTACGTCACATTTGCACAAATAAGATGTATCATCACAAATATCCAAGTCCCATCACAAGTTTACTGCATTTCTCTAAACCTCTCTTAATGATTGCTTGCCACTAAAGATGTACCCCATCAAAAACATGAGTTTCTTCTTTCAGTGATTCAATAAAAAGATGACCTTTTCTGTATGGCAATTGACTTCTTGATATCATTATTTTCTTTCCTCTTTTCTTTTGTCACAATTACAGAGACCTTCAGCTACCTGCAAAGTAGATGAAAATATCATAATATTTACAGTTCAAAATCAATTTTGTTTACAAATTTCTTCTTCACAATATACCAGTATGTAAGTTAACATCAAGATATACTATCAAAATAAATGCAACTCTTGAATTACTCTTCACAATATGCCAGCATGTAAGTTAGTAAATACTAATATACTAATATACCAAGATATACTGTAAACGTAACTATTGAATAACAGGTACATGAATTATTTGTTACAGTTATATATTAAAGTAAATTACCAGTAATTATGTATATAATCGCTTCACACACAAAAGCAAATAAAAACTAAAGCACCATTTGCAGAATTGGCATCAACCTGAATGACTCTGGTAAGGAAAGATAAACAACGCGTCCATTCTTTGTCAAAATGCACAATACACTGATATCACACTCTCCTAGCTACGTGGCGAACTTGTACGTCCCGCTGCGCTGAATTTCCTCTCAATGAAAATAATCCTTAGCAGTGTCTTCATAACAATATTCACGTGAGTGTGAAAAAAAATAACATCAGGCCCATCATATAACTTGGCTTGAAATTAACAGAGTACTGGTTTGAATGGAAAACAGTCAAGGCAACCCCTACCTCATAAAATTGATTTTGTCTCTATGGGCGCCGCCATGTTCCTTGCAGCAGTTCTAGCGCCACCTGACGGGAATACACTGGCCGATAGGAAAATGCACTAAATCTGGCTGTACAAATTACAACGTTTGTTATGCAGTCGATCTTTTGTCTAGATTTGTCTCAAAGGAAGTTAACTACGATATTTTGATATTTATGTTATTATTTTTTTCACCCAAGCTGAGTTTCAAAGTAGATGAAGCACTGGCCGCCGATACTGCTCTCTGACGGCTGATTTGGATAATACATTGTTCTTGTTATTAATTATAATTAGTTTTTCTTTTTCCAACATCGATCTGTATGTATTCAAATTAATTTATTCTAATCCTCGTAAACCTACTGGTCGGTGAATGATTAATATATATAGCATTTAGGTTTATATTAATTAAATAGATCATTTCAAAACCGAAACCCAGATAGCAATGAGCNACGTCGGCAAAAGGTCGGCATAACAGCGGCTAACCGCCGATAGTAATAGCTCATAACGACGTTGGCCCGACGTTGGCGCGAAGTTGGCAAATTGTCGGCATGACAGCGGCTGACCGCCGTTTATCCATAATGACGTCGGCCCAGCGTCGGTGCGACGTTGGCAAAAGGGTGGCAGACCACCGGTGGGCCGACGGCGGGCCGCCGGACACGCCGACTTCGAACCGACGTCGTCTGCCAACGTTGGCCCGACGGAGGCAAAGTCGTCGGGCCGACGTTGGCGCGACCACTCTTTGCTATCTGGGAAACAATTTTACTGAATTTCACCCAGTGCTTTGTAAAGGTCGAGATCAGGAAAGGTCGGTAAACATTCCTTTTCTGCTGCGATATCCAATTTTTTTTTCATTATTATTATTTTTTAACACGTATTTATCTATATCGCCTTTATGTAAACGTTAAAATCATGTATATTTATTCATTTACTTGTTTGTACTCTGTTATAGTTAATTAGTTGTACTGTCTTTGATTGTACCTTATTTGTGAAGGTGTATCAATAAAGAATCCCAGTGCGCATGTCCGAACTAATATTGTTTTGTTCTTTTTTTTTTTTTTTTATCTCTCCATAAACGAGAACGAGACAGGTTTAATCTTGTTGTCAAGCAGTCAGGACGCTTCGGTGACTCGTAAATAGGGTGAAGCGATATTCATCCTACTTTTGATAACGGGGATCGGGCAAGCTTTTCCAGGAGTTACGATTTGCACCAGTGGGCATACATTGCGTACGCTGCATAGGCTAAAAGATGAAAATTAGACCGTTTCCTTTGTTTAGGGTATTGACAACACAGTTCAGGGACGGCAGTTCAGGTATGCCTTTGTATACAAGTCACAAACAACTACAGCGGGTGCGGCATATAAGTAAACAAAGAGCAGGGGCAGGAACTCTCTCTCTCTCTCTCTCTCTCTCTGTCTGTCTCCTTTTTCTGACACAAATTCACACGCACACGCGCGCAAATTGCATTATGTATATATGTATCGTAGAAACAAAAACACAAAACAACGACATTAATAGTAGCCTACATAACAGACCTTCACATTGAAAAAAATTAAACGATCGATGCCTCGCAATAGGTGGAGAAATTTAGACGAGTTTTTTATCGACCATGTGCTGCAGTGGCCTACACTGCAGAACTGCCGAGGAAAGAACATAGAGGACGCCCTCTAAAAAGATCCAGCAATTTTATCATTTAATAAAAATTAAAGAGAAATTTGATGAGATTAAACCACTGATTTAGAGAGGGTTGTAAGGGGGGTCCTGATCCCCTACCTCTTTGGTTTCTGAAAAAAAAATCAATATTCCCTTCTTGAAATTGGGATTTTGAGCTGGATCGTTGTTCTAGACCGTGCCAAAGTGCACCTTTTGTCCTCTTAAATTCCTGTGTTTCTTATTATATATATTTTTTAAATAATAATATTTTTTTTTTTTGGGGGGGGGGGGGGGCTCTTGAAAAGGGGACGAAGGTCCCTTCGCATCAGAGGCCTGTCAGTCCTAAACCCCCACCCCCACCCCTCCTTCAAAACATTCTGGTTCCGCCCCTGGGCCTGTCCACGAATACAGGTATATACAGCATCATCTGGTAGGCCTATGCTTTACGGATGGTAGGCCTATGCTTTACGGAAAAAATACATGTACTAGTACACAGTTGTTCACCCTAGTCCAGGTCGATTGTGAATATATGTATATAGTTAGTATAAACAAGACAGCAAAGCTGTCAAATGTACAGACAAAGAACAGAAAATAAAGATGCAAATAAGTGAAAAATTAAATTTTCACAAAAAACTATTAAATTGCCAGAAAAATTTACCAAACAGACTGCGTTGCCTATTGAAGCTGTATGTTAGACCCATGTTTCTTTCCTGTAAGTTTGAGAACAGTAAGTGACATGATTTCCCTTAAATGGTCATCATAGGAGCAGTGCCCAAAATAGGGGTTTCTTCAAATTTTGATGCAACATTACATAATGTTTAACAGCATAATGACAATCAAATGTTATTAATAAAATATTAGTAACATGGACATTCAGAAAATGTGACAAGCAAAAGTCTTCAAGATCATGGAACTTTAAAGTCACACCTTGAAAATGCCAATATGTGAAAAATTAAATTTTCACAAAAAACTGTTTAACTGCCAAAAAAAATAAATAAATAAATAAAAATACCAAACAGACTGCATTGCCTACTGAAGCTGTATTTTAGTCCCATGTTTCTTTCCTGTAAGTTTGAGAACAGTAAGTGACATGATTTTCCTTAAATGGTCATCATGGAAGCAGTGCCCAAAATAGGGGTTTCTTCAAATTTTGATGCAATATTACATAATGTTTAACAGCTTAATGACCATCAATTTTTAATTATAAAATATTTGTTTCACAGATATTCAGAAAATGTGACTAGCAAAGGTCTTCAGGCCCATGGAACTTCAAAGTCACGCCTTGAAAATGCCAAAATGTAAACAAGACAGCACTGTTCTGAAATGGGTTTATTTCCATTTTTAACACTTTTTTAACATAAAACAAAATAAACATTTTACTGCCATTTTATATGACCAACTAAGAAAATTGATGAGATGGGAAAAGTATCAATAGAACAGTGTTAAATGTCCAATTTCCTCCATTCTGAGATTCTGAACATAGTGGATGATTGAATCTGACAAACTGCAATGATATGAGTTTATTTCCATTTTTGACACTTTATTACACAATACATGATAACAAGTTTACCATGTTTTTTACATAATCAACTAACAATGTTGTAAAGATGCAGGAAATATCAAACAAACACTTTTAGGCATCTTATTAGTTAAATAATGAGACTGTTAACATGCCTAATAATTGAATCTGAGGAAATGTGAAAAACAGTATAACTTCTAAAATAATGGCCCGATTATGCTGATTTTCGAACTCAACCTGCGTTTTAGTAAGATTGACCACTCCTGTGAGTATAATTACAATTGGCCAATCCGTTTTTCTTATATTGTGTTATCAGTGTTGCATTTATATTGAAAATAGTGAAAAAACAGCATAAATTCCCTAAAAATGGCCCAATCATGCTGATTTTCGAACTTGACCTGCGTATTATGAATATTCATCAGTTCTGTAAGTTTCAAGGCAAAAGGTAAAATGGTTTTCCACTTATCGTGTTATCGGTGCTGCATATATGCTGAAAAAAGTGAAAAAACAGCATAAATTCCCTAAAAGTGACCCGATCATGCTGATTTTCGAACTTGACCTGCGTATTATGAATATTCATCAGTTCTGCAAGTTTCAAGTCAAAAGGTAAAATGGTTTTCCACTTATCGTGTTATCGGTAAAAGTGCACGGCGACGACGGCGACGACGGCGACGACAGACGCAGATGATGGCTATATGTACAGACACATCTGTGTCTGTACATAAAAACAGCGGGAAAAATAATTACCTCTTTGAATTTATTTATTCATTCATTTACTTGTTCGAAAAAAATATATCGTTTACGAAAACATATCACCTTAAGGTGAATTGTTTAACATTTTATTGAATTGGGCAATTGGTAAGCGTATAAAGCAAGTCATTTTCCCTTTTTTATTAATGCCTTTATTTATTTATTTATTTTTTATTTCTATTTTATTTCTATTTTATTTTATTTTATTTTTTTATTATTATTATTATTTTTATTTTTTTTTTTGCATATCGCTGACATATCGGCAACACTGTTTATAAGACCTTGCCTTCATTAATGAGTGTCTGATAAATTCCAGACCACTAAATGACCCTTAATTTCAGATTTTGCAGGCGCACGAAGATCACGGGCCTATGTGAGAGGAGGCGTGGCCGGCATTGGGGTAGGGGCCATTGCCATTACCCCATACTTTCACCCGTCCTCGTGGTTTACCGGCAGTAAGAAAGGACCAGAAACCTATCAGCACGTAAGTCAAGTTGGTCCAGGATCTACACCGCAGACACTGATGAGCAGGGCTTACGGTGCGATTGGATATGCCAGAAGTAGTCCTGCTGGCGTGCTGGAGAAAGAAACGAAGCCTGATAGCGGTAAAAATGTATTTTAGACCAGTTTAATGAAATACTGAGTACAGTTAGCAGGATCGAGTCTAGAAGAATAGAAAAAAAGTCCCCTCAGAAATCTCGTGCAATTTAATCCTTCCTAGTCTCTTATTCTTTGAACATACACTGTAGTCTTTATTGTTATTATTTGCATATATAAATGTGTTGCCGACTGAACGTGGAAACAGAACACCATGCAGTTGATGTTTATTTTTAGCTTCAGTCGCTCCCTTACACTCGGTGTTAACCGGCGGCGTTAACATACTGCAGGCACTGTTGTACAGGGATAGTGATGAGATTGCAAAGGACAATGCCAGTGGCGTGTCAGAGAAAAGCGCGGAACCAGATAACGGTAAAAATTAATTAAAGGTGAAGTAAATAAAATCCACCAATATTGAGACGGTGATAATGCATTATTTGACATACATACAAAGAGAAATATTCGCATTTCAACGAAAGACACCTAAGTCCGAATAGAGCATCGCCACTGTACTTCAAGTTCATTGCACAGCATGGAATCTGAAAACTTGAAACTGTAAACGTGATGCATTCTGTTTCATTTGTGAGTGTTTAAGAGGTTTCAGACCATTGAATAACTCTCCATTTCAACATTTGCAGGCGCACGGGCCTACCGGAGGTATATAATAGGAGGCGTAGTCGGCGGGGCCGTGGTCCTTGCTTTATGTGTGTGCGGTCTCGATTCCTTTGGGTTTACCCATGATGGTATACGTATAGGTTCCTGGGCCGCCGAATGGATGAGCAAGACTGCAATTAAATATGGCGGGGGTGTGCCGGCGGGAGATATTATAGCTAAACTTCAGTCGGCAGGAGTTCTTGGCTTTGCGAGAGAGACGATAGTGAAAATTTGGGCAGCCGGTTTTGCAGTTGGGGTCATAGTTTCAGCCCTGTTCAAGAATAAAGATTAAAACGTGTTTCTATGACGTAACTCTGTAATATGACATGTTTTTGGCCTTAAAAGTTTCCCGGAATAACACTCCGTGAGTGTGGGCCTCGCATGTACATTGTACCAGTGTATGTAACTGTATCTCTTCGCTGATGTTCATTGTAAGTCAGACTTTTTAAATGGCTTTGAGGATGTATGTTTTGCAAATGACAATTCCAGTACTTACGCCTTCGGTACTTCTTGTTTATTCATCATGATAGGTCATGATAGATAGTGAATGGATGAATTTATTTATATATATAATATATTTTTTGTGGTGTTCACTTATATTTTATCTGCTGGATTTTTTTAACTGGCTTTTAATTAGAAGAGTAAGATTTATGGCGATGCATAATTTTGCAAATAATTATCATAATCCCAAATATTCTGGACTAATATTGACTATTAATAACCATTTATTCATGATAATAGACAGTAAATAAAAACTTCTGAAAAAAAAAGGGAAGTGTTCCTCAACTGCGCAAAATGAAATGCTATGTAAAGTATTCCTATTTTTCTGCTGTGCACCCTAAATGTATTTGTCTACCGTCGCTATGTACATGGAAACTTACATATTGCATGTACTGTACTACTGACGTTACTCTTATTGTACGTATATTTTAACATTATAAAGTCATACTTATAAGCCATATTCAATTCATATGCGTGTAATAACCTGTTCTCTGTAATCTGGTTGCTCCATGTAGAAACAATCAAGAATTGTAAAAAAAACTCAATAAAATGTTTTCAAACTGATATACTAGTATTGTACATGCTCAAATATCGTGAAACAGGAGACACGTTACAGCCTGCCGCCATATGTTAGCATCAAGAACTGTGTATATAACGTGAACCTACCGCCTGACCACAGGGTGCGCTAGTTGTCTGGTACAAAATTGTCGAAAGCGCACCACAGTGTGATTTTATGTAGTATTTTTGTTGGGCCCTGATACCAGAGGGTAGCAGGAACCCGGAACATAAGACTGTAAAAGATTACTTCTGATACAGAAGTATACTAATAGAGACTCTTATACATAGTCCAGAGATTCAAGGATTTATTATTGGGGGTGGGTGGGGGGGGGGGGTAGCCTAAGGCCGACCAGGAAGTTGTAAACAACAGCAATGACAGAATTAAAGTGGCAATACGTTCTTTGGGGAAGAAATTTGGCTGTAAACACTAGAACGGGTGATAAAAATGCATTTAATTATTTAATTCACGAACTATGTGTTCCCCGTTTTCATCCTATTTTCCCAGGTATCAGGGTCGTTATTTTTTGACGCAAATAGGCCCACTGACAAATATGCATAAAGTGGTAGTATTTTGCCTTAATGACACTTTACTCACCTTGTTAAAAGATACTTTGGTAAAAATTTTAAGACAATTTTCGAAGCACCACAAGCCCGCCTTGTCTCAGTTTTCGGCCTTTCATGTTAGCTGTTTTACATTGTAGTATATAATATGCATTTGAAGTGCTAATGCATCGCTACACGCACCAGATTGATGACGTTATAGACTTTTTATTCAAGCTACCACTTAAGTTGAAAGGCCGAAAACTGAGAAAAAATCCCCCCCCCCTAAACATACACAGGGACATAGTACTTGTGCTACTAACTTCAACGACAACAACGTAAAAGAATTTTACACAGAGATTATCAGTCTTTTTCATACAAGGTGCCACTATATTTATGCGTAATACTGATATCTTTACAATTCAGACCTACGGTGGGATTTATCTTTCTTTATAATCCCCTTTCCTCTTTACCTTATTCTTTATATCTATTAGTTTTTTCAAAAAATTCTTTTTAGTTTATTTTTTCAGTCTGTCAGTGTAACCCACAGTTAAGTTACTGGACCACTTTAAATAGCTATCAGTGCTGCACAGCTTATCAGGCCATAGTCTTCCGTCTTCTCAAAGGAGGTCGCCACTTTCTAGTTTCCACGTAATGGAAGCTAGCAGAATGCAGTAGAGGATATTTCCTGGAAGAAAAGAAAAATATTGTGAAGTTGGTGCGCAAAAAAATCTACACTGGTCTTTTTATTTTTTTTTTTTGCCCCCGGCTCAGCCAAGCAGAACCGAAATTCGATTTCGCGACAGGTTCTGTGCGACGTAAAACTGTGCGTGTGTGCGTATGCGCGTGAGTGCGTGCGTGAGTGTGTGTGTGAAGGATGATCACTGATGAATATTTCTTGAGAGTTTTGGGAGGAGAATGTACTACTTGGAGCATTCTCCTTTTCTCCCCGACAGGGATGCTGCAAGGCACTTCAAGGCAAAAAAAAAAAAATGCATTGCAAATCTATATCCCTACGTAGTAACCTTCTTGAAAAGATCTTCAAAGCAAAACACAGTTTTTCGATAATATAAAACTATTCTTTCAGTAATGCGTTTTCAACATAAGTCGAACTGAAAAATCATTGGGTAACCAGCTTTAATTAAAACTTAATCAATAGGTAAGGCGACAAAATTGCATTCGTATAGATCTCGTGTAATATATTCCCGCCTGTAAAGTGCTCTTCAGTCTCGCGCAACATGACATTATTGCAAGTTAATCCGTTTGAAGCATTATGATACATGCTTTGTGTTGCAATAAACAGATAAAAGGCGCTGAGATCAATAGAAAATGGCTACGACATGAGTGGGTTTAACGGCATAATCACAAGCCAAAGCTTTCATATAAAGATAACTATATTATATCTGGACGAATGCATGTACGGATTCTCGTTTTTACTATGAAATGTGTTTGTGCTGTTTTCAACTCATATCTTAAAAATAAAATGATTTCTACGGGCTTTAGCTTAACAGCACTGAAAACAAGAAACTCTCGGTGTTCAAGGAGGGGAATCACAAACCGGGAGGGCCTTTTTTTAACTCCCTCCCTAATAATACTAAAGTAATAGTAGGCCCTACCGTATAGTAGTAGTAGTAGTAGAAGTAGGTAGGTAGCAGCAGTAGCAGTAGTGGCAGCAATAGCAGTAGTACATGTAGTAGGAGCAGCAGATATAGTAGTAGTAGCAGCAGTAGTGGTAGAAGTACTGGCAGTAGTATAATGTCTTATATTGGCCTTTTCCTTTTTAAAGTTTGGATAAAGGATCCCCTCCCAACCCAGTCGGACAAGCCTATGCAAAGTCTCACAAGAGGAAAATACCACTCTCTGTAATATTCAGAATAGAATGGCACATGACCCTTTCAGATTTTGATTAAAAATTTGTGTATTTGTTCATTATAGCCCCGAACCAACATAATCGATACTTTGTATCACTTTCGGTTGCCATGGTTACAACACTTAAGGGTAGACTGACCTATTGTAGAGTTGGCGCCGTTTGTGGATCCCGACCCCCCAACTGGCGTCGTTGCGTCAACGAGTTCGCGAGCCTCTGTCACTGGCTTGGATGTAGATGAGGATGGCATAGGAGTGGTAAAAACCACAGTGAAGGACTGCAGTGAAGCTGAAATGACAAATGACGAAGATTGAAAAGTAATATCGATATGCTGGATTTACATATTATACTCTTATAATTAGATACGCAAAATGCAGCAATGGTGGGGCTTCAAAAAACGATAAAGAACATAGTCCGCTAATATTGAATAATAATGATAATCATAATTGTATTAATTTTAGGTTATTGGTTATTATTAATGAGCATGATAACAATTATAATGGTATTTTGCAACTTCAAATATATTTGCCATTGTTAACAAATCATCATGTATATCCACTCGTTTTCCATTTAAAAGTACACGCCCATTTATTGAGGGAAAAATATACATAAAGCCTTTATTTATCAGGTACGACTGCTAGTGTCAGAACTACTTTGCCGCTTATATTTCATACAGTGGACTGCACTCTTCTGTAAAATCTTCTCGTAAAAATGGGTTCTTGCTCAGACGGCAATTATCCCTTGCGCTAATTTTGACGAACACAAGACGCTCATTTGATTACCTCATCCCTTCCTTAATGACAAAACGTATTTGTTTTCAGTCAATTTGACGCTTTGTAAGCATTCGATCAATACGCCTGGTGTATTACCTTCACATCCAGAGCTTCATATATCTGAATCATGGCAAAGGAGCAAATTGTTTCTGAGGGGATCTTGCAAGCAAACGGTAGTCGTCATGACCATCGCTGGGTTGAGACAAAAAAAAAGAAAAAAAAACGAGTTTCGGAGAGCAGCTCACCAGTAAACTTCTGCACAGTGAGATTTTTCAATAACCTATGAAACCCAGGGCGAGTCGAGAATCTCACAAATTTAGTAGGAACTCGGGTCTCTCTCTCTCTGCATCACGCACCTCTCTGTCTAAACTGGCCGTAACAGCAGAGAAGCCGTAATAATACATGTAGTATCACTAAGATGCTGAAGATAAAAGTGAGTTTCCAGTAATTCTTGATGGACACAAGTAGTCTCGACTCGCATTTATCAACGAATGTTTTGGTGATAATTGTGATTATAATCGAATGGGCAGGCCACTTCTTAAATGGAGGTGCTTTTCAACCTGAAGGACCCATCTATCGATCTTTCTTTCTATCAACGCACACACAGACTAACAGTACATGTATCTGCGATCTACAGAGAACGATAGTTTCATTGTGAATGAGCCCCAATTGTGCTCATTATGGCACTACTGTGCTTGCTTAAATATACACACTGAAATCTACTCCCTTATGTAGCAAAACTGAATATTCCAGGTATATTAATTTTCTCAGCGGGGATAAAGGAAATTGTTGACATATTACTCATTTCTTTTTTGTTATGTAAGGGCCGTCCGTGCACAGTATGCCTTTGGGAATTTATTGACATTGATAAATGGCATCTTTTTAAAATGCAGTCTACTACATGCGCATCTATTCCTAAAACCCTTGTGTTGAATTAATTGGCACGTCAAAATGGAAAAAAAAGTTGAACAATCCAAGACAGACTTACTTGAAAACGCACACAACTTATATTGGAATTGCCATTCATTTGCGTGCTTCAATTTGTTGCAAATGCACTTTAGATCTAAATCAATAGTAACTCTGAGAACGTACTGGTAAGGATATTGTTCACATTAAACTCCGTTTTCTGCACTTATTTGAACCAAGATTGATTGTCAAAGTGCATCTTGATTGCAGTTTGCCGAACCAAGCAGATCTTTTTGTACCAGCGATTACCCTCATCAATTTCCTTTGATGTTTTAGCTTAGGGAGTTTGCTTTTTGGGTCATATCCAATCCTGTGTCCAAATGCGAAATGGAGAATCTATGGAGAGCGGGCTATCTGCCCCCCCCCCTTCCGAACCCCCCCCCCCCGCCCCCCTCCCCCCCACCCCCCCCCACCACCACCCCCCCCCCCCCCCCCCCCCCCCCCCCCCCCCCCACCCCCCCACTCTTCACAAACATTTTCCTTACCCTTCGGCCCTGATAAGGCCGATGTTTGAGACAGCACGTTCGACCTACTTTTATAACATCGGTTAAAAGTAGTCAGTGTCACTTATCATTAGATATANCCCCCCCCCCCCCCCCCCCCATCGCAAACAAAAATCTGAGTCACCCCCTTTTTCCATCCCAAAAGAAAAAGGTATCGAGAGACAAAAAAATAAACAGGTAACTTGGAATTCCCCGTACCTTACATATTATTCTAAAATTATATTCGCCAAATGTTTACTTGCCAAATGAGCAAGGCAAAAAGATATTTTACTGGCCCCTTCCCTTTAGCAAAACCGTGGATTCGACAGTGAAATGATGATTTTCTGTAGTGTTTTCATATGTTGGGGAAAATACTTTATATCTAAGTACATGTACAAAGTATGCTATCCATTACATTTTTCTTTTAATAGGAGAAAGAAAGTAAAAAAAAAGGAAAGTCGAAGATATAAAATTGCACTAAGTGCAGCTAGAAGGGTTTTAATACAAGAGATAATACGCATTTGGCATATGTGTGTGTGTGGGGGGGGGGGGGGGGGGGGGGGGGAAGGGCAAAGCAGTAACAAAATTTCAACAGAATCTCACCTTTTTCGCAAAACTCTCCCTCAAAATTGATCGCTGAACAGTCGCAGATGGCGCCAGTATCCGTGACAAGACACGTCCCATTGTTCATACACACGTTTTTGCTGGAGCATGGGTCAGAAACGTCCTTCTCAATGCCAACGGAATCAAGAAGTATTGGACTCCCAAACGCTTTGGAGCAATTTGAATACAGCAAATTCCTAATGCTTCCTGCAAAGGGCGATTCGAAGGCTGCAGATGGGAGGGCGAGAGACCTCAAGTCACTTTTAAAATGGACCGGAAGTCCAGCTATGTACAGAAAACTGTTTCCTTCCAATTCACCAAATTGCGGCTTGTCATTAGGAACCGATTTTGATGTTCTCTCAGCGTCCAACACCAACTGAACGGCGCCATCTTGTCTCTCTATTTGAACCGAGTGCCAGGCATCGTCGTTAAGGTTTCCGCCCAGGTTAATTTCTGTGGCCACGCCTTCGCCCATGTTATATCGAAATTGTAACGCTCCATCGACCAGTTTCACCTCAATGAAGTCGAGACTCCCGCCGTCGTCCAAATAAACGAGTAGGCCATCCGGTTCTTGGGTTTTGAATTCAAATTTCAAAGACCCATCCGGGCAGGGGTTCCACTTAGTGTATTTGGCATAAGAAGCCTGTGATGTTATACCAATGGTATACCCGCGGGCATTACGAAGGGCAAAGGTCACTAAAAAGGCCGTTATTTTGATTATGGCATCCCACATTGTTTTTTATGTCTTCTTTCTATTACGACTCTCCCACTTTTTTAGATATGGAATATCCTTGAAATAACCGCACAGCACGTTTTTTGTGCTGTTTTGATCTCTTTGCGACTGTGCTTAGTCCGAGCTTGTTGTGTGGCCAACCCGTTGGTTACTTCCAGCGTCTCTCAAAAAAGTAGATTCAATTGCACTCCAAAGTCGAAGCTGACAGTTATTCACACTGTCCCCACCGACACTTCACAGCCTTATTTGGCAACAAAATCCAGAGCACGTTATCTTTTATTTAGTCACAGCATTCCCTTCTCTCCGCTCCCAAAGAACTGAAGAATCATCCCGCCGTTCCCAGGCCACTGCAAGGACACTATTGAATAATACCCTGCGACGCGAACGGTTATGAATCACCAAAGTGGACAGGCGGCTACTGTCTTTGTCTTACTACAACCGTTGGTTAATTGTGGAAACCATCCAATTGTATGCGAAAACCAATCAGCATTAAAAGCGGTCCACGGAAATGACTGCGTACACGCAACTCGTGTATTAGTACCGTTAAATACGCTTGGAATGGTGTTTATGCTTCGATGGTATGTGGAAATTAAGCAACACTGGACTCCTCAAAGTAAATCACAACTGTCACAAATATATAAAAACCGTACAGCAGTGGTCAGGTCTCTGTAAAATCTAATCAAACACCGTGGAATCGCGTGAAAATTCTCAGAAACTCTCGGTTCGCTTGGCAATGGGCATTTCACTGTAATATTTGTCATTGACAACATTGATTAACCGACAAACTTCACTTGGTTGAGAGATAGTGTGGAGCAGATAATTCCCAGTGCTGGTGAGTTGCTCGCCCACGAAATGCCCTGGTCCTTATCAATTATATACGCCGTTGAATAATCGCAGAACTGCAACGTGTCAGCAATAACCCTTGGTTTTGTGTGTCAGAGAGAGTGAGAGAGATAGATAGAGAGAGGGAGAGAGAGTAAACAGTCTGAATTCCCCAGTAGTAGTTTGTAGAAATTGTTTACGAAATGGAAAGCCACATGTAACTCACACTCGATGCCCAACACACACTTTAACGCTTGGATGAAAGAGCACGCTGAGGAAAATTTGCCCGTATTAGTCCCGCGTGATAGTATACTAATGGGCAGTTCCCTGTAAATTATCTGCGCTGTTAAATAAGAGTTGAGGCTGCGCTGTGTCAAAAATCAATCAATCTTGGATTCTGGTTTCAGAAGTTATCCAGACCTGGCTGAGCAGATTGTCTGTTTCAAGCCCCACGATGATTTTCCTGCCCCGCTACCCTGAAAGATGAAGTTCAAATGTCAGTGTTGTTTATATCAAACCGTTTATCTCGCAGCCAATATTGTTATTGCTACCCCAGGTGATTTCTATATAATTCTGGAAACGTTGCTAATATGCTGTTGAAAAAAGTAGTCCTATCAATTTTCTAAACGGACTAACTTCCCCGAAACTTATATACATGTAATGGTATCGTGAGTGGTGTTTTGTTAATATTTCATTTGGTTTTTTGTTAATATTACATTTGAACAGAATTCTGAGCATGTTACTATTAGGCAATCTAAATCAACCTAGAACAGTGTTATAATCAGCCACTGCCATTGCCGATCCGATACGGAAATTGTAGGACAAATTTGTGATTACCAATATGATTCGCAAAAATTATTTAAACACTTATTTGCCCTGTTCTATGGTTGTATGTATTTTGGCGAATGCGCCTATTACACCTAACTGTATAAAGATATGTGACTGATAAAGCAAAATTTGTAAATAAGGTTATGTTAAAAAGCTTGTTTACCTGTATCTCCTTTAAATGTTGTATAACACCGAATATCTAACTTGTAGTATTTAGAGAGCCTTTAAATGTAAAACGTTTCTGTGCACAATAAAATTATCATTATAATATCATTATAAATCTAGCCGAAAAAGAAAATTTGAATATTCAGTTCATGCAACACGCCAATATCCTGTATTAACATACTAACTAGGGACACCATTGCTCATTGTCACGAAAAAAATAATTATCAAAGGCGGGTGCGGGTGGTACTGTTATGTATTCAGAGTGCCCATATTTTGGAAATCGCCGCGAGTTTCGAGATATTTGACTCATTGTTTTGTTTCTCAGTATTGCCATTTAGTGGGATCAAAATCTCATAAGAGTAAAATGTTAATAAAGACCACCTGCTTTACAGATAAAATGTTTATCTCAAGAACAACAGTAACACAGACATGGTTGAAACGCATGGTATGGGTCTTCGGACCACGGAAACCAAGTGGGTCTCATTGCCAAACCTAAACATTAGGCCAGAGAACCGACAGAGCCACTACGATGTGTATTATCCAGGGTGTGTAATATGGGTATCAGAGCTACCTAAAACAACACATTTAGATAAACTGCAGAGATATGCGCAGACTGTTACACAAATAATGATTAAATGCTCGTACATCTAAATTGGCATGAAATTGGAAGGAAACATAGCAATCAATGCTATAAGATTGCGTCTTTGCTGGCGTTTGTTCACAGGGGAACGAGGCAAATAATGAAATTAGCCAACTTTTCGCACCCTGTATTTCTGAGGTCACTGGACATTCGCACCTCTGGTGCACCTAAAAAGCATGCTGGTGAAAATGACGACTACCCGTTAACTTCTGACAATCAGAGAATCTTATAACACTCTCAAATTATTTTTCTTTATGAAAACTTTTGCTCGAATCGATCTTTCTAATTCGCATTATGTTGTACAAAATGGTCTGACGTGACAGTTTTCTTTGAGGGTCGGTGTGTTTCAGAAATGGTAGTCCTAAGAATGAAGTCCAGGGTCCCATGTTATTAGTACAGGTTAGAGTATTGGGGTTAGTATATTCGAATAAAGTCACCTGTATTAAGTAATGGGGTACGGACTACGGTTCCTAGCGGTCTACATCATTCCTGTCACACCGGTTTACAGAACAAGTCGAGAAAGAACCACCCTGAGCCTCAGAAATCACTGGAAGTGTTCCACTGGTGCCGATAACAGAATCTAACGAGGCATACTGACGTTGGAGGAGCATATTAGCTTCGAATGGACTCCTAAACTCAGGGTTGGAAGGCGCGGGGATTAAGGGACCATTCCCACAGATATTTGGATCGATCTATCTCCCTGGGGAGTTTCACTAAATTGCGATCAACTTAACCGGCTTAAATGTCTGTCACGCCTAGTAAAGCTGTTAGGGGGTAATTACCTTTACCCTAGCTGATTCGGTAGGCGTGACCAGGGAGTTAGACCGATCCAAATGGATCGATCTAGGCATGGGAACCCAGTCTAACACACTCACAGGGTTGTCGAACCTACACATTTGTGTATTTTACGCACTTTAGTCCGTTTTTCGATTGATTTTTGGTGTAAATCTAGTAATTGTAGTCGGTAATATTGCAGAATTTCAGTGTTTTTATCATAAAATATCTGTATTGTACAGCTCTGAGGCAAATGTAGAGCATAGTATTAAAACAAATTATCATTATTATGATTATATGACAAGCAATAGATCATCGCATTTTGAATCCTCTAATGTTGATATCTCGACCACTAAAACAATACTGAGCCTGGGGTAAAAAATGAGACATATTGTTCTCGTGTTAAAACCATATTAATCATCCTTGGCAAGACATTTTGATAGTCATGGAAATTAATTTTTGATTACGGCCAGGCTAGCTGTCCCTGTAGTCAAAAAAGGGGTGATTTTGTTGGAGGTTATTTAATCGGTTTAGATTCTAATCCAGCGTCTGCAGTCTCCAGAAAATGATAGCACTTAGTGTAGTCTTCTTTGTTTCTTTAACGCATACCTGCGCGTTGATTTACACTGGGCATGAAAAGCTTTGACATACCCGGTGTTTTGTGTCTCATATTTCACATGCGCATAAAAAATGTACCTATCCTCTATTATTAATGCTGAATTTGATCCGTTTGAGGTCAAATATAAGCTATATTTTTCACTATATGAACGCTACATGTCCTGTCTGTCTTTGAAATATAAATATTTCTGAGACACTCGACGTTGCCTCGGTGCCATTTTTTGCTTCTCTCGGTTATACATTTTACAGGCAATGAGTAAGACTGCGTTTTATCTTATTTGACATTGTCTATTTTAAACTGCGAATGAAATAACACATGCAGACTTTATCTCACCTTATCTTTTCTTAAAAGATTCTCTACAAGGAACCTACCGTGCATACCTTAGACTAGCCCTAGCACGCGCCGATCGTGTATATCTTCAAGCACTGACACGCACTCTCAACCTTTCACTGGTAGGAGAAAAATATTAACTCAAGTGTCTCCAATACGTTAACTCCTAAAACGAGCTCCGTTAATAAAACAACTCCTCTCGCGCAGGTAAGTGAACGCCCTGTGTACTCCTTCACACTGATCGGAACGAATTTCAAAATCTTTTTTCGGGCTCTATGTTTTATTGGTCAGAAAACTGGCGATTAGTCGGCTAATATGAAGATGTCCAGTCCTGCGGGTTAACTGTGTGGTCAGACATAGTGCGACCTGACTTGATTTCGGTCTGAAAGGCACCTCTGGGTGATTTTCCACTTTTCAAATAAAAAAAGAAATTAATGTACTTACAGTTTAAGGTCCAGCATCAGGTCTAGCACAAGCTACTTAATTAAAATGCAATATACTGTATAATGGTAATCCACTGAGTAGAGGGCTACTAAGCAGTGATGGGTGGGGATGTAACATGTGGGAGAAAAATTTAGAGTTCCCATTTAGTATGATCTAGCTGAATCACTAGAAAATTAAATATGCCTTCAGTTGACGCCATTTAGACCGAAGTACAATCTGTGGGTATTGCGCTGTCTATACACACACGTCTTAGATCCTAACCACAACTGCCCATCCACTATTCTCTGTTCTTTCTGTGTACAGCGGTCACGGGATGATATTTCACGTCGTGCTTCAAAGTTGAAACGTAAGGAATGCGACATTTATTGTTTTCGGACATCTGACCGATCCATCACCCCCGCCATACCTCCCTTTAAGCGCAAACTTTGTAGAGAGATGAAGAGATACAATAAACATTTTTTTTAGTGAAGGGGAGGGTGAGAGAGAAAGGAAGGGGAGGATAGGAAAGTAGGGTTAGAGAGAGAGAGAGAGAAAGAGAGAGAGAGAGAGAGAGAGAGAGAGAGATGGGTAGGAGGAGAGAAGGAAGGAGAAATACAGGGTTAGAGAGAGAGAGGGGAAAGAGACGAGGGTGACAGAAGACAGGGAGAGAGGGAGAGAGGGGGTGGGAAGAGAGCAAGGAGGAGAAAAGCAGAGATTAGGTCATTTCTGAATTAAACAGGCATCCATCGCTTCTTATGAAATCAAAAGGTTACTCCTCTCAGTCTGCCATAATTACCATCTTTCCCCAGGCGGAGGGACAGAGGGAAAAGAGAAATTAAACCTGGATTTATTTAGATGTTTTTACTGCACCTATACACGTAGTCGGCGGTCGTTAGCGTGATGTCCGTCTACCCCTTGGAAAAAATTGCCATTACACGCAGGTAT